AGAAGCACATACGTTATATTAGGTTGCCTAACGGCTTCTTAATTATCTTCTTGGATCAAACTTTGCTGTTGCTACTGATCTCGAGACCCCGAAGTCCTGGCGTCATCCTACAAAGTCTCTAGTGAAACCATCTATTGCTTTGGTGCAACAGTGGGTTCTTAGGCTTACAGGATCGGTCACCGTAGTGCAAACGTGATTCTTGATGACGACCTCTTATTCGGAATTCCGTTATGCACCTCCGATTCGAGCAATTCAGATCCCTTATTGGTTCAGCTATTTTCAGTCAAGCTGAATGCGCTTGTTGATGATACCAGATGCTATTTTTCTCCCATTCTGCGCTGCGACCTGGCTGTTGCCGCGAAAGTTTGCCCGTTACTTCGGATGATGTTTTGTGTTTTGATGACGAAGTTATTATTTTACCTTCCGCAGTGAGCGAAAATTCTCGCATATTTGCGCTCTAGTCATCTGGGTGTTGATAAAATAAAATCTCTTGCACGCCTGTCATGCTGGCGGCCAGGACTAGATACCAACATCACCTATACCGCTACAAATTGTGCTAAATGGATACAAAAATATTCACGGCAAATCTTTAGATTAATATTCGTGACTAGTTATTTGTGAAACATTCCGATGAGTTCATACCGGCTACCGTGGTCCAACGGCCAGGACTAGATACCATCATCACCTATACCGCTACAAACTGTGCTAAATGGATACAAAAATATTCACCGCAAATCTTTAGATTAATATTTGTGACTAGTTATTTGTGAAACATTTCGATGAGTTCATACCGGCTACCGTGGTCCATTTCTCGGTGAATACCATGCTTTAATTGTTGTTGACACACTATCAGTTCTTCCCTCTGCGTCTCCATGTGCCAAATTCACACAAGGTTTGAGGAAATTATTCAGCCGTGAAGGTGTATCAACTATTTTGGTAAATGACGAAGATATAGACTTCACCGCAAAATTTCTCGAAAAAAGGTTAGAAGGTCCTAGATGTAGACATCCTTTTACTGTTCTACGACTTTTCCATTCAAATGAGCTTCCTCAGAATTTTGTGTAAATGCGAAAATCTGGCATTACTTCACTTTTTTCTACTTCGTTCATAGAATTAGACTGCAAACTTGATAAATTTCTAATACCACACATATATACCGCTCATTCAGTTACTAGGGAGGATCGCGTGATTTTCTTTAATTTTTTTCTCCGTGAGTGCAAGCCCTGACTGTGCCAAAGCAGTTGATGTTACGTTTTTGAAGGGAAATGATTTACGTTCTGCCACAGAAATAATACTTCCATCAAATAGCGAAATAATGATCACAATTCTTGATTTTGATCATCTCTCCTATTACCGGAAGCACATTGATCTGATTGAGTTCAATAACAGTAGTCAGACTGTTAACGGTACTTTTGCTGTTTCAAATTCTAATGAATCATTTGCAGGTGGTACTACCGCATCCGAAAAAAATGCTATCTCTGAAGGACATACTAACGGCAAGGAACCTGAATTTTTCAACCCGAGAAAACCTGATAGATTACGATCAGATGTATGACGGATGTGGCGTACACGATTGATGCTCCTTTCAAAGCTCTATTCATTATTCTTTTGTTTAACACTTCCAAGTGCTGTATACACACATCAGTTTGAACACATAAGTGCCACTTGTTACCCCATGCCCAATTCTTTCTTTCTGGCTAGTTTTGTCACACTGGTATACGTGCTGAACTCAGTTACTGCACATTACCAGTGAAGCTAGGGAGCATTGTGAGGCCAGAACCAGTAGCTTTTGTCCGCGCGGAACGTTGGTGAGATTAAAAAGGTGCGGATATCGTTGAACAAGAGTTCATGCTTTTGCGTGAACACATAATAATACGTGTTCGTGCGAGCATTTGGGCCGCGAAGCCCCTGTATGGAAAATGGTTGGAATGACCCTCTAAGACGCCGCTTTGACGAGGCATTGAAACTCACAACTGTGTTCATCTTGTAGGACACTCGAGTGAGCCACATACCTCTAATGGTTGTAGTTTCTACATTTCGTCTACAGAAAGTGATATCTATTGATGCAATGGTTTGTTGTCTTCTTCAAACTGTTGCAGAAACAAGGAGTAGTCTATCATGACTAACGCTTCTGGTTCTGGTTTAGCTGGGGTGCCATTTTTAATAATAATGAGTTTATTTACCAGCATGCACATAGCACGTCAATGGAGGCACGATCAGGTCAGCATTTGTCCTCTGGATCACTGATGGAAAGACCAAGGCAACGAAAACATTAAGGACTCGTTCACTGCCGCAGCTGTGGGAAATTCTTCCTCTGGTTGAGAGAACAACCATCATATTCCTGCTGATGGTCATCAATAAANAACAACCATCATATTCCTGCTTATGGTCATCAATAAATAGTCAGTCATGTGCAATTCCAATGGTAAAAGGAAAAAAGACAATGTGCCTTGTAGGGGGGTTTAAATACAGACAATAGCACAAAATAAAAATATTCGCAACCTCTGATTTCGGATTTTCGAAGTTGCCCAAGAGGTGGAGTTGATATGCGCTCTGAGGCAGTGTTTGTTTGATAAGGCCTGAACTTCGCCCATTCTAATCGGCTGTTTTCAGGAAAACAGGGTAAGGTCATGACAGAAGTTTTCCGAGTTGACTGATCGTGTACTGAAGCCGTCTAATAATAAAAGAAACTGCATCAAAGGCAGATAAAAGGGATGTGGGATGGGATACTGTTTCGCAATGACCACACCTATTAGCAAAAAACTCCGCTCTTTGTGCACTTTCAGTTAGTTGGCCCAACCTCAACTCCTCGTTGGACAGCCTTAGCGGATTTTATTTTCCAGGAAGTAAGGCCATCTTTTCCTGTTTCCTGGAGCCGATGGTCATACTCACTCTCCTCTCCAGTACATTCAGTGCAACCCCAATCACCTGCAAAGTTCTAAGCCGGTAGGTGCACTCCATACCACTCCACATTATAATTCTACCCATTAATCCCCGGCTGGTTATCGTGACATTTATCATACTGGCTTGCTTTTTCGTACTCCTTGTTGCCTTATCAAAGACCCAACAGTGTTTTATTTCCCAACCATCAAGATCCATAAAACGCGAGAATACATATTTGTAGCCTGTCAGTCAGATTGATTTCTTCATTCTCCTTTCAGCTGACTGCGATGCCGGAGTGGTTATCATTCGTGTCTACCCCAGCTTTCGTGAGACGTTTGAACAAGTCCCTCAAGGCACCTCTCTAATAAATTACAGTATCCAGATAGCGGTGGTCAAATCATGCGTTGGTTCATTTTCTATCCCACAGGGAGAATCCAGGTCATCACATTTGATGAATACTCCTCATCATGACCTCCCATTACCGGCACAGTTTTTCAGTGCATTATTTGGACCCTAATCCTGCTGCGCATCAACCACGTCACTGACGCGAGCAGGTATGGCTCGCTCACTGCCACTTAAGATAGTAAGATAAAATAATCATTCAAACTGAGTGATTGAGCCTATACCTTATCTAACATTTGGTCTGACCCAAACTCCACATTCAGCTGATTCCTTAACCCGATCTAATGGTCCTCGAAAATTCTGGGTCCGCTACCATCAACTCTTTCTTTATTGAACCCCGCACATGCTGGAGGGTCACGCCTCACTCGTCCCAAAGTGAGAGGCCTGGGTTTCACATGCTACTGTATTTTCACATTTTCCATCCTTAAGCAGCATCCATTACCCGAGAGATTTGTGCCCTCGTTTGTCGCTCTGTCCAGATCAAACCATATTTGTGGGCACGTACAGATATATACATATATAAATGATCCCAAATGCTCCAATAACTGTATATAAGACCAGTGAAACAGGCTCTTTCACCATGCACCACTTGTTAATTTAAGCTGATAGAAGTGCTTCGGGGACCGATGAATATTACTCTTACACTTACTAGATTATAGTACTGTCCGGCTGGCGTAATAAATTCAAGAAAAAACTAGCCCATTATCCCGGGTATCGACTCGTGTAAGTCCTTCTAAATTTGATTTCCCTAACTAAACTGCCGCCCTTCATGCTTATACCGGTTTGATCCTGCCCGCTTGTACTTCAGTCTCACATATAAGCAAAATGAACCGCTGCTTCACAGCTGGTCTAATTAGTACAAATCCGTTGTTGATTTACTCACATGTGAAACCGCTGCCTTACTTAATACACAACTACCTCTTTGAATCTTGCTCCACGCACATTTATGTGTAGCGACGATACTGTTAGTAGCCAGGCATAAGACCCCGTTATCATATCCTACCATTACCTTAAGCCACTGTAGTATGCTCAATGCCCGCTCAATCTGAATGCGTTGTGTAACTGGACTGTTCTTCACTCCCAAACACCTTATACCTCGTATTTGCTAAGTTTACACCCTGGACTACTCTGATAGCTCTGTCCAACGACTGGTACTCTGTTTAGCCTAGCTTTAGCTAACAAAAATCAGGCCGGAGTCGGCGGTTCTTCAGTAAGCCAATATGTAGATATGGTCCATCTATTGGTATGCTCCAAAGCCCATCAAACGCTCACGTAAAGCATTGCGGTACGCCCTTGTTTGAAGTGCTAATTCACAACAATGCTCGGTCGCCATTTAGCCATCGTGCACTCGCTCTAAATGTCAATATTCCAATCCTATTATCCCACTGGAAATCGACGTTTTCACTTGCCTCCTGCACGGCCTTCCTTTACCAGCGTCTGTTCGCTATTTATCTATCCGAATTGAATTGACTGTCTTGCACGCCCGGCTTTCCTCCTGACCGGAAAAAAGATCTGGTAGCTGTAGTATTTGATTATTGCACAAACTGCATTTATGACTGCTTATTGATTTTTCTTCTTGCAGATCTGGTAGCGTGCGCGAGGGAATAAAACCAGGTGTGGTGATCGGGTACACCCTGCAGAAAATGTTTCCCCACTATTTTGCACCGAGGTGAGTTTGTGTACCCGCCAACCCTCCAGTTGAGTAAGTGCTTCACCTATCGCCGATGGTTCTGAGTATGGCCCTTAATCCAGGAAATCATAAAGACAGCGCAGTGTTTTCTGTTTGTTGCCGCTGGGATGGACTCTTTCCTTGTGTCAGTTAACTGGCTAAGCTGTAAAAAAGCGATAAAAAAGAAAACTGGTCTTTCGTCTTTTTGGTAAAATAAAAATCGTTAAAAAACGAACGGGATAGCCTGAAAACTCTGTGACGCCCATGACATACATCAACGTATGGAGCTCTAACTGCTTCCGTCTTAATTCAAGTTGCACCACACGGAAGCTAACTCAGTCGGTCAAACAAAACACACGCACGCACCTTGTATTTCCGGGAGTGGACATACACAACGAGAAATATGTGTACGGAGGATCCTAACCCTCCGTTACCACTAGGCGAGACTGATGCACAGAAGCTTTTAATTCGCCATGCACCACTTGTTAATTTGAAGCTGATAGGAGTGCTTCTCGGAATCGTGGCTATTGCTCTTACACTTAATTTTCCCTCTTACGTTATGATACTTCCCAACTCAAGCAATAAATGCTGGATAACGTAATACGTCATCTCGGAAACTCACCCCACCAGTCCTTATATCTTTGACTTCCCTGACCACACTATTTCTGTGTGAGGTAATACTGATTTATACTAGATCTCCTGTATTTTAATATCATGTCAGCAAACTCAAACCAGGCTTGGTACCTTGTCTACTAAATACAAGTCCATCCCTATCCTATCTCATATAATCACTGGTTGTCACCACCCTAACAGCGGTAGAAGTCGTCCTACTATATATATATTAATGCTTTTTATCCATCTGGTGTCTTCTGAAACTCTCCAAGCTTCGCTAATCTCATCCTATTCCCTCATCTTCCCAATCTTTGAACTTCGGCACTATCAGATATAAACGACTGGTTGGCCGTTATCCACTCTACCCGACCTGTGATCTACATCTACAGGGATCACCAACCGGACCGAAAAAAGAAAAAGCCTGCGATCTTATATCGGATTTGTTGAACTTCTGCAGACTTCCTTGGCTAACCTGAAAGAATTCCGCTGCTTAAAGAATTTCAAATTCCAGCCCGGTGAGCTCAAGTGTGACACCCGTTATGGAGTTGTCCGGAAACCGGAGTATCTCAGGCTGGTGATGGTAGGGCACAGCTATACCCAGTTTGATAAAAAAAAACCTGCATTTATTCCCTTCAAACTCATGACCGTATCCTATCCTTCACTCGTTCTATTAACTGCAAATACGAATTAGCTGCTCACTTGGCCCCAGCTGCCTCCATGATATGTTCTTCCAAACTGCTGAACCCGCCGCTCAAATTTAACCATTTCGATTGACATTCAGTGTGTGCTCCTCAAAAAAACAATCATTTTCTTTACATTTCGCGTTCTTGCTCGTGTGTTGCCATCGTCTAACTCTTCCAAGGAACCATTCTGCTCGACTTCACAACAGCGACACTAGTAATTCTCCGCAGTTTCACTCTACACCATGACCCTGACATTCCCATCATCATTTATCCGCATTGCTAACCCCTCCAGTTCATTATTCCCATTTACGCCTTTTGCGACCCTGGCCATAAGGCCAACTGTTCAAGGCCACTAGTACCCAGCGGTGGATTTGGGCTTTAGTTATTATTGGTTAACTGAATTACGAACACACAGCTGCGTCACCAGATCAGTCGTTCTGGTTCCTGATTTTCTTCAAATTGCAGTTTTTTCTAATGTGTCGGGCAGGATGCCTCCCTTTTTGCCCTACTTCGTTTTGTTTTCGCCAAATACAAATTATGGGTTAGATAATGCCCGATGCTTACGACATCACTTCTTTTCCGCGCAATCTCTTGCACCCACGACTCCCACTAGTTATGCTTTTATTCTAACTGTGACAGCATGGTCATGCCCAAACTGTGTGCCACCCACCAGTTTGAGCTAGAGATTACTATTATTTATGTTTGGGAAGTTTGTAAAACTCACTATACAAATTAGCCCTGAATTTGTTTTAAAACATTCGCAGTAACATCGGTCTTTCAAGAAGAACATCCGGGGACCCGATCCTAAGTCGTTTCTGTCGTGTTGAGCAGTTTCAAATGGAAGTCGCACCTCGTCACTTGGATTGCGTTCCTTATGGCTGAGAGGTTCTGATTTATTTTTAGGTCATATGCAAGATAACTAGTCCTTCTGTTGATATAAAATTAAATCGATACCTTATTAAATTGCCATTCCACGCATTCGCGCATTCGCACAGAGTCGTGGTGCGCCTCTGCTCGACATTGTGGCTTGCCCTAAACATCGGCAGTCGGTTAGCTGCAGTGCGCTTACTCCAAAAGTCTCCATCCAATTCCTGCTAATCGCTCGGGAACCGAGAATCCATTCAGAGTCTCTTTGACGTTAATCTAGGTCGCCCCTTGTTGTTGATTCCTTGTTTCAGATCGGTCTACGTTTTCCCTCGACAGGATACGATATCAAAGAGGCGCAGAATTTCGTTCAACCGTAGACAGAGCTGGTTGGCATACTGCGGATCAGGTAGCAGGCAATAGAGCTAAGGCGCGTGGGTTGGTCGTTGTTTCTTATCAACAGGTTCACCCTGGTTTATTAGGCCACGTAGCACCTAATAACTCGCCATCCCTCCGGTACCACGAACAATTTCTCTTTTGCCCATTGCCATGTGTCTAGGCTTTGATTCGGAGAATGCGTAAAAGAACACTGCCTGTAGGCAGTGCTTTTGGCATGCCTTTTTTAAAGTGAAACCAATAATGTCTTGGCGAAGCCAAATAAGGCAGAAAGGGTGTTTCTTTATCACACAAAAATTCCATCACGCACACCTCTACTTGGAACAAATTGTAGTGCCCCTGACAAAGCAGGCGAAGAAATGCCTGAAGACCGTAACATTGGTTTTTGGCCTATTCGATAATTTGGGTAAATTGATTACAAAATTTCATTTTCAATCTAGATTATACCTGTCAGTTTCGGGTGTGGTGGCGTAGCGACCCATCGGGCATCCTAACAAAGTACTGAAGATGTTGCCGCGACAAATGAGGAGACGTTTGCGATGAAACACCTCAGGTTAGCGGAAAAGCCACCGGCCATCTAAGCTACCCGAGCTACCAGCGTTATACTTGACAGCAAACGCAAAATAGTTGTCGCAACCCGTAATCTGCTGCGACCATTTGCACCGCTGGAAGAAGTCAAACGGCGTAACTATTTGTCACTTCTAGTTACATATTCCATCCCCGCCTACGTGTGACCGGACAAATATGGGTTTAAAAAGGACGTGGTTTAGGAAGCCGTGGGCTAGACGCACGCCGAAA